CGTAGTTCACAAGGCCTTCTGAATCTTCAACACCTTCCATTATTTCCTCCGCTTGTTCTTCTGTTAGCCTTTCACCTAAAGAGTGGTGAGTAGAACCATAAAAATAAGTTTAACCTAATTTCATTACCCACTGCAATGAGAACGTGCCTAAGGTCATGTGCCATAATCTTGCCTGTTTCTTCTTTGTCAAACACACGCAGTCCCTCGATAAAGTCGTTTGTGGTGCCTACTTCCTTCGCTTTTGTAAGTTGCTGATAAATGGGCATGAATTCTTCAAAAGAAATTCGTTTTTCTCCTTAAAAGATACAAATTCAAAAGGACAAAAAAATTAAATCTTGTAACAAAACCATTACCTTTTCTTTTGTACTGCTCCCCAGCTGCCTTGTGAATCATGGCATTCGTTGGCTTTAGCCCAAGACCCCTAACTACGTCCCCAATATTAGTGGCATCAATTTTGCCGTCCCCCTCTTCATCGTAGAGACTGAAGACTTCTTTGCATTCTATAAGTGTCGCACAAAGGTCACTTGCAAATCATACTGTATTGTCTCATTAATTAAGGAACATGCATCAAGGAATCAGTATTGCACTAAAACAGCAATAATGAGCAGGTAAATGCCATCAACAAATTAGGGTTTGCAGTCACATTCATGCGCAGCAAAAGAAGGATAACAAAAGGTTAGCTTGGCTGAAGTATCATTCAAAACACCAGCGTTTCTCAGTAACCTTCAAACTTCTGAAGCTTGTCAAAGCGCGCATTCATCAACAGACATTACCCAATATAAAACGCTTTGGTACAAAGATCGCTGACAGAAGCACAACTAAAAGAAGTAAAATTAAACAGCTTTTCTTCTCTTCAACTAAACTCCAGCTTCATCCTCCACCTTATTCAGGGGTTTGTACTCTTGCTGCTCTTTTCTAAGAACATCTGTCACCCATTGTGTGTTACAGATTTCATTGGGGCTACCTCACACACAGCAGGGCTACCTCAGTAGCCGGGAAGAACACTTCCTCTTGGAGTGACATGACGCATTTCATTATTATTCCTTCATGAAATAAATGTCAGGAGTTGATTTATGGAGGGCCATCACAGAAATGGAAGTTAAAGTTTGTGAAAACCTAAGATATGGTTTAGTAAAACATAATCAAAAAGTTGAAATATCTGTTCCAAACCTTGCAACCAACTTAACACAGCTTAAGCAATGCACTAAGTAACATAGAAAAACAAAAATTACGTACACAAAAACAGATATGACCAATAGAATATTTTCAAACTCCACAATTTTCGCGGCCTAGTCTTGAAAATAAACTTTGGCACTGGGCATTTTTATTGGTGGCAATTAATAACCATGAAAAAACTGTAAAAAAATTGAATAGCTAAATCATTCACTGAGTAATCGTGCCCTTCAAGTTCAAAATTCTAGTCTACGTCCAATAGGTATGTTCCCCCATCACTAACATAGTCGATCGGCGTGGTACTGCCTGTCTGGCCATGTGGCAAGACCACCAAAAGACGTTTCCGATCAAAGCGTCTTCGCAGCAGTTGCAAGCATGCACAACCGCAACCGAATTCACCGTCGGTGATTCGGAGAAAGGCAATGAGACGTGTCAACCGATTATCAGCTATCCATGTAATGCTGCCTTCGCAAATGCCACTTTTCGTTAATAATATAGTATCAATAACGACCTCGGACGATTACTGATGAAGAAGAGGTACGAACATTTAAGTTTTTTAGTCATTATAATAATCGTGAGGCTCATCATGAGTCCCTAAAATGATTGGCTTATGAACAATAATTAATGCAACGAATGAAACATGCCATCTCTTGAAAGCCCAGTTCATTCAGAAAAATAATTTTTCAGTTCGAGAAGACATAAGCAGGCTCTTAATAATAATAGATGAAGAAAGAGATGGTTAAATGCCTCGACAAACATATTTATCAAGCGAAGCTTTTCGAACCCACAGTGGGTCCTTCTTCAGGTCCAATCAATAATGCACACCGAATTTTTGCAGGAGAAGAAAATCCGTTGTTGGTTCAGAAACCGTCACTTGGTAATCATATTTTTCCTGACTTCTAACCGTTTCCTTTTCAACTGAAAAAGGATTACTCGTATCTACTTCTCTTATAAACTTTGCTAAGACATGACGATAGACAACCGTTGAAAGGAAGATGGCATCGTTTATTGGCGGCGTCATTTACAACACCCGGATGAAGAAATATTATCCGTTAGTTTCATTTACAAAGATTCAGAAGGCTGATTTACTAATCTGTCTTTTGGCTGGTAGTGGAATTACACTGGGTAACGACGTTAATATTTTTATTTCATTCATGAATCATTGAATAATAAATAAAACGAGCTTTAGACATGACCACAGCTTTAAACTACCATTAGTTTAAAGTAACGTTCTGTATTTAATGCAATAAGTCGTTAGGAATGGAAGCACCCAACTGGAAGACCTCGGCTCAAATGGGACGATGAAGCTTGTGACGACCAGTGCACGATAAAAAAAGGGGCATCGAGACTAGGCAATGATGCTTTCCGTTAATTACCCTACAAGGATCCTTCAACAATGTCAAGAATTCAAAATAATATGGCAAGACCGATATTCAGATTAGCATTTAACAATTGAAACAATGAAAAGAAATAGAAGCTATCTTCACTTCCTCCCTTTAGCTATTAGGAAAGTGAGGGCAGTGACGATGGCGATGATAAATGGTATCCTCCGTTTAGAGAGATGATAAGATGGAAAAGAATTGGAAACGTTATTGAGTAAATTCTTGATCATGCAAGTGTCGCGAAAGCTGTTCTCTTGATTGCCTGAATATAATTCATAAACCATAATCTGGATATTGGACTCGCCTTGTCAGCGAGTCAGAAATTCCTGCCCATAGGATAGATGGCGTGATAAGACTGTTTCCTCAATGACGCAAATACAGCCTTTGTTTCAACCGTAATTGGAGTGCAACCGTAGCAGTGACGTTGCCAAATATCAATATGATATATCATTTTTAAAGACTATAAATAAATCTGGGTTATCCAGTTGTCTATACCCAGCTAGCCGTTGATGACGATGACACAGTAACAATAATTAAGCTAATGAAACCGCACACATCATACGTCTCGATTTCATTTCCATTCTGCAAGGAACAGTGTAAGAATATATTGTACGTTTCAAGTACCATCATTGATAAAGTAGGGTTTGCCCCTTGGGCATGTTATGAACAACGTTTATGAATCAAAACGTCAATTATTGATTGATTTAGCAGGCAAATAAACAACTAGAACATTCTGACCTGAATCTTCGAAGGGTCATCACGAAGAAACCTGTCTTGATGTTGTTGATATTGATCTATCGTCTTCAGTTTATGTTGCTCGAGCTTATTCTAAGGCTTAATAAAGCGCTTATGTTGAATGCTTTACAAGAACTAACGCAGGAACAAGTTACTGAGTCAGTTATCATAACAGAGGTTAATATGAGATTGGTAGGGGACGGGAAGGTGAAGCGAGTTCGAACGAAAACTCAGAAACCTCAGCAACACGTTAGAAAAGTTAGTAGGCTATAAGTGTTTAGAGTGACGTCTAGAGGGAATGAGAGAACTTCTTTGGCCGGCACGGCGCGACACCGAAATGTTCAGCCGCAGCAACAAACGTCTAATGCGCGAACATAGAAGTTCTATACAGGGGCGAGACAAACAGACGAATAACTGGAGATTTCATCGAAAATCTAAGCATATTTGAAAACGGAATTTTCAGCAACTTTGTGGTATAAATCATGAGTAGGTTAGAGAAGTGAACCACGTCCCCTGATATTCAAACAACTGCATATCATTTTATTGATACCCTAATATCTCATTATTTTAATACAAAGCATATGAGACTTCCAGAGAAGCAAGTACTGTCCTAGATGATAAAATGACGCCAGATCTTCCATGCACCATAGATGCCCTGATGCCTTAAACTCCTTGAGGCTGTGGTTCGCGTAAATGATTCAGTAGACTTTTAGATCATAGAGATGTGCATTACTCTAACTGAAACTCTTGAGAGTTTAAACTCTTATTTGCATTCATCAAGAATAGTGCTAAAAAATTTATCCACTTCTAAGGCTACTTGTTAATGATGAAACAACTGCTTTAGCGAAAAATTTGTGCGAAAATAATCTATAACAGAACATGCAATAAATATATATACATATGAAGTTAAGTTCCACGGGACCATAGTTCTATGAACGCTTTTTGTTTCAATAATTAATCGCTGGAAGCTGTGTATCCGGTAGAATTATTCACTTTAATAATATTCGCTATGCCCACTAGTAAATACTGCACTTTGAGTATGCATTTTTTGTGCTTGACAGCTGAAGATGGTTAAGTGCCCATGATGGAAATGTAATTTACTTTTACTGCATTAAAAAACGACGTTGTTCTTAATGTTCAGAGTCTAGCGTTTCTTAGGGACATTTCAACCACTGCAAGAGCTTATTTCCTAGTTTGCCCAGTTTAAGTTCCTGTTTCTCATAGCTACTTAAACCTCCTACCTTTCATAAGGTTTCCATTTACTATATGTTCAAAGGGCACTATGAAATTTGCCCTCCTCATTTCACTTTGAATGTTGAGGAACTGCTGTCTAACTTCCGCTTGCATCTGCACTGTGTGAGTGTATTCTTAAGCAGAGAAAAGCAGTAGTTGCAAAGTCATCCAGGTTTCATAGTACATTCATTTACCTGTTAATTTTTATCTTCATAGAACATATGTGCATTCTCTGATATAACAGCGGTTATACTGTCAAACCTTGGTAAATCTGGTATCAGTGATTGAAATGTAATATGTACGGGCGGAATTGCAAAGCTACCATTCGTGGTAGCTATCGAATATTGAACAATATTACCTTTTATCCTCTCAATAAATTTGCCTTCGGTGGTAAATAGGGAAAAAATACTGTTCGCCCTCGACCCATCTTCTATGTTCAACCCAACATAGAGATGCAGTTTCGCATCCAATGCATTACGGGCACTTAAACAACATGGATCCGTGACCTGTTTCTACGAATGGTTATAGGCCACGGGGCGATGCGTTTCCGCCCTGAAAATCAGGTACCAGTAATTGAAATGCAAACCGTCTGCTATAGAATCATCCATTCTGAACGACGGCCTCCTGAGAGCCATCCCTCCGGGCACCAGCAAAAAATGAAACAGTTGAGAGAAAACCCAAAAACATCCTGGACCAAAACCACAACAGTTTGAGCCGGTTCCGAGTTGCGTACCTCACTCATATGGCAGAAAACCGCCAGCAGAGATTTTCGACTATGCAACATTCAAGACATGATCGCGTACTTAAGAAAAAGATTTCGATTACTGATGTTTAAAGCTACCCTGATGTATTGATTTTATAAATGCGACAAGAAATCTTGAATATGAACATATTTCTCCTTGGTTCTTAGTCATTCCGTCGATAAGACAGCATTTCTTGTACAGAAAGCCTCTATAATTCTTGACCTTTAAACTTCATGTCTTAGATGTTCCATGTAAATCTATCCATAGTATGAGTGTTAAATACCAATAAGAGAAATGCAGATGCCTGTGATTTCAAGCCGCTTCACTGATCACATTAATAACGGATCTCTGTTCCATGACGAACGTCTGCAACAGGTGGAAACAAACGATAATCAATCATCAGATCTGTATTTAGTTAGTAAGGCAATGCAGGGAATCGCTTCTTAAAACTCATATACAAACCGTGTCGTGGATGAACTCAAAAAATCTACCTTATGACTGCTGCGCTAACATGAGGTTTATAAAATGAAATTATTTTTACTTAAAAATACTCAACGCTTCGACTAAGTGAACGTTCATCACCATCATCAGGGGTATAGAAACTACGAAAACGCGATTATTATTTATACGCTGATGGTCTTGGCTGAAATGCTGCACGTTTGTTAAATCAAGATATTATCATTGTTCTTGTGCTGCTATACGCAGTATCAAAGGTTATATATGCTGCAACCAAGAAAGAGGGAACATTAATAAATTTCAAGCAAAGCTGCCCCGCCAAGTCTAACTGGAATATGAAGAAAATTTATGAATATTTGAAAAA